GACATGTAGGCGCCATTGGTGTTGCAAGAACGGATCGAGATGCTGGGTCAAGGACACTGGGAGGCCTTGTAGTTTGCGCCATTTGTGATAAGCTGCTTGAAAGGTGAGAAAGTAGCGGGCTTTGCTGGGGGAGCAAGCGCTGTTCATGTTGGCATCGAGAAAGATGCGAAGGTGGGCAGGGAGATGTAGCTGGTCCAGGGTGAGAATGTAGTGTCCATTGGTGGTGGGAGTGTCTGGTTGAAGGAGAAGAGAATGGAGGTGAGAATGTGTGGAGGGTTTCCTCCCATTGTCGATGGTTGCGCAGCTGGGCGCGGAGTGTCTTATAGGCTGCTTCGCGGAGCCGGTGCGTAGGTAAGTGCAGGGGAATGGCAAGATGTTTATGCTGTTGTATGGTAGTTTGGAGCCATTGTTGAGTGTGCTTGAGGAAGTCGTCATGAGCGAGGAAGGGAACTGTAAGCGGTATGTTGGGACGTGGTGGTGTCAAGTTGCGGTATTGAAGTGCTTGGTGGACGATGTGTAGGGCTCGGCTTCGGCCTGGCTCTTCGAGATTGGCTGCCACGCGTCGTATGGCATAGACTTCAAGGTCGGTGTGGCGGCCGCTGCGAAGCTGTTTAGCAGCTTCAAAGGGTGCTGAGGTGTGCTTTGTAAGGTCGCGGAGGATGGTGAGGGCGTGGTGTTTCGTGGAGGTGACTAGGTGAAGTTCTCTCAGGGTGTGTTGACGTCGGCGTAGGCGATGGAAAAGGCGTTTGTGTGTGGCAAGGCGGGAGTAGAAGTGAGCACTGTGCTTGGTGAATTGCAGCCTTGGGCTTTGAGCTTGAGGTGGGGTGAGATGAAAGGCCAGTTGAGAGGCGCCATCCAATTGGATATGTGGTTGCGCTTGTGAATCCATGCCTGGTCGTATGTGCCATGTGAGGAAAGTTGGATGGTGGTGTAGTGGTGGATGTTGTTGTGTGCTTGCCAATAGCGCAGAGAGAGAGTTCGGCTGAGACCGGGACGTTGTTTTGGAGTTGTTTGAGCTTGGCACGCCGATTGATTGTGCTGGGCTACAATAATTCAGCAAGTCTTGTTGGCAAATAACTTTGGCCTAAGCCTCCTGCTGTCCGCTCTGGACACATACATCTCCGGGCAGTGGAGATAAAGACAAACCCCGGTTCAACGGGTCCACAAGGGCCACTCGTCGGGGTCACCCTGGGCTGGCATGAAGCCAGACACACTTATGGGAACGCGTACTGATCTGAATGCCCCATGCCACACGCCCGCCTAGGCATGAACGCCTCAAGATTCAGGCGCATTAAAGTCAAGAAAGTGTGCAAAATTATTCAAGGCCTCCAAAGGACTCCAAGTCCCGAACGAAATGACGGCGGCCGCTCTTGTCTGCACAGTGCCCTATAGCCCTTTAAGGAAAATGAGAGTGACAGCCTTGTCAACACTTCCAAAAGGCAGGTACACCAGGTTGATCAGACCTGGCTTCCACTATCACGCATAGCTTCGTTGGCACGCATTTGCGTGATATCCACTCGAAAACAGGAAAACCAATCCGAAAGGATCCCTGTGACTCCAAGGGTTACACACACTTATGATTGGGCGTACGGAACTGAATGCCACATGCCACACGCCAGCCTAAGAAACCAAATCCTGAAAAGTCCAGGAGAACCCTATGGAGCCTGGAGGTCTTCAAAAGGAGAAAGGGCCAAAAGCTCAAGACCGAAAGCGACGAGCAGGTCGAAATGACTTCGTACGCTGATGTCTGCCAAGCTCATTAGCACTTTACTGGAAATTGGAATCAAAGCTTGTTCAAAAGTTCAACCAGCAGGTACGCGCAGCTGATCAGGCTGCACATCCTGAGGTCACCATAGAGAGCTTCGTTGGGCGCAGGTTTATGGGCCTGCTGTGCCCCCCTGCTAAAGCAATTCATAAGAATCCCTGTGACTACAAGGGGCACACACACACACTCACGCCTCCCCAAGGGGAGGCATCTCTGCCCTAGAGCGTCCTTGCGCTTAGTAGTAAGGCCAGGAACCCCTAGTCCAGCTATGACGAAAGCATCCAGGGACACCCAAACAAGAAGGAGGGAAAGGAAAGGAAGGAGAAAAGAGAGAGAGAGAGAGAGGCAAAAGAGAGGAAGAGGACTGGTGTTCCCAGCTACGCACAAGCGTCCAGGGACACACCAGTGAGAGAAAGGGGTGAACCTGACTATTACATTCAGGAACACCCCAAGATGACAAAAAGGGGAGAGAGGAGGGGAGGGGAGGAGGAAGGGGGCTAAGGTCGCGACAGACTCCAATCAATCTAGAACAAACTTGGGCCGCTGCGGCCACGTACGCCGTGCCAAAATGGCTGGCTGCTTAGACCGCTGCGGTCACGTAAAGGCATGAGCCAGCTTGGAATTCAATACTTCAGCAAGTCATGGCAAATAACTTTGGCATAAGCCTACTCCGCCACTCCGCCCGCTCTGGGCACGTACATCTCCGGGCAGGGGAGATAACGACAAACCCTTTACTGGAAATTGGAGTCAAAGCTTGTTCAAAAGTTTTACCAGCAGGTACGCGCAGCTGATCAGGCTGCACATCCTGAGGTCACCATAGAGAGCTTCGTTGGGCACAGCTCTATGGGCCTCCAGTGCCCCCCTGCTAAAACAATTCAAAAGAATCCCTGTGACTACAAGGGGCACACACACACACACTTGGGGGACACCCTTGCTGGGTTATTCTAGGACATTCTTGTTTGATACTCTGGCGCGTGACATTCTTGCAGAACACTCTTGCGCGACGCACTTGCGCCACACATTTGTGGAAGACTCTTGCGCAACAATCTGGCGTGACAGTCTTCGAGAAACTTTTGTTTGACAGGCTTTTGCGCGACACTCTTCCAGGACACTCTTGCTCTTGCGACAATCTTCTTTGACACGTTCGACAGGCTGCTGTGGACACTCTGGCTTGAAAAATTATATGACATTTTTGCGCGTCACTCTTGCTTGACTTATCAAAATCTTTAATGCGGTAAGGCCAGGACAGCCTGTTTTAAAGTCAAAAATTCAATTGGAAGTGCCAACAAGGATTGAAACATATAATATAAACTGTTAAAAAAGAAATCTAAAGCAAAAAAAGTCGGATCTCGACCAATTATATTTTCGACTTTCTGAAACTTTCTGATTTGATTTTGGGGCTTTTGACTTTTGGCACCGACTACTATGTTGACTTTGTTGATGCTCGAATCAGTCATCATCCGCCGACTTTTTTGATGTTGGGCGGAAGCTACCTCAATATTGGTAGTGGGGCCCAGTGCGCTCCAGATTTCCTTTGTCCTAGGTGAGACTACATCACTGCGCTTTTTTGGTGATCCTCCGTGAGCAATAAAAGAGTGTGATCATCTTGAAGTTCCCGCACATCACCCTACGTCGACAGGACAAGGACATGGAAGACCAACAACGAGCACAAGGTTAACCACAAGAAGAACAGCCCAATGGAGGCACAGGATCACAAACGTCGTTCACACCTCAAGTTCGTGGCTTGGATGATGGATTGGCAGAAGCTTGTCCATCCGCTGAAGGATTGACTCAACGGTCATAGCGAATTTCGCCGAAGCCTGGAACTATTTGAGCGAAAATTCATCGACCTTCTGCTGAAGCAGCAGTGGAAGGAGCGGTGCGACGAGTTCTTCTTGTCGCTTGAAGAACGAAGAGATGCAAGCGCATCTCGTGAGGCACCGGACAACGATGACGAAAATGAATGAGGTGAAGGCGCACATCCCCATCTTGCTCGCCGGCCCGGCTGGCGCCTCATGACAAGATCGGGCGTTCTCAGGTGGAATTAGATCCAGATCAAAGTCCTCTGCCAAGGTGAACTTGAGTACGAGAAGGCGCGCAAAGCTTTGATGAAGATGTTCCGCGGTGACCACAAGCCGAACGCCAAGGACATTCGCGCCGGAGGAGAAGATGTGAGACTTTCTTTGAAGATGAGTGGGAGGCCTACGACGATGATGAGGCCTTGGAGTTGGCAAAGGACTATGACTGGTTGGATGATGAGATCTATGAGGCATAAGCTGATGAAGATGAATGGCCAGAAGAACTTGATGAAGCCTATGACCAGTGCGACAAGGCCTACATCAGCTACTTAGCTACTTGGAGAGCCGACGAAAAGAATGAGGGAATGGGCCAATTGTCAAGAGGCTTCTATTCCGTGGCGCGTGGTGGCGACAATGGAGGAGGGAGAAGCTCATGGAAAGGCAGAGGTGGCAAGAGCACAGGAAAAGGAAAAGGAAAGAGCAAAGGCCAGGGCTGTTTATTTAAGCCCAGCTTCTTCCTATGTCCTGGCTTTGCCGATGGTTGCTTTTGGCGCACAATTGTCCAGTCATGCGTTTTGTCCTGCATTTCTACCATTCCAGGAGTCCTTAAGAGAGTGTTGTAAGTTTCCTGACTTTGCTAGTTTTGGCGTTATGACTTGGAACTTGTGGCACTTGGCACATTTTACTCTTTCCTCATGACATGGGAGTTGTGTTTCTAAGCATACCTCCGACAAATCCTACGTCAGCGGCGGGTAGAATATCATGCAGAACACTCCATCGGAAGGCTTGACGCATGACTTTTGCGGGACTTCTCACATCATTCTAAATCGCAAATCTAGCTTGGACTTTAGACCCTGGGCCAATTTCAAAGACACAGCTTCACGCAAGCTCTGCAAGAGCTAATCTCACAGGCATAGCGACATTCAACACCTCGAAAGCATCCCGTGGAAACGCCAATCCCAATGCCACAGCGACGCGGACTGCCGACCTCACGAAAATGCTGCACCTGCACTGCAAAAAATCACAGGTCACACTTTTTGAGTCACGTTTTGATGCTTTTTCACAATCTGACGCATCACGCTTCTATCCACACCTCGGCATCCATGCGAACAGTGACAACACCAACGATTTCGTCACGTCACGCGAACCCCCACACCCCAGAACCCAGAACCAATCAAGAACGCTTCACTGCGCATTCAGGAAAAAGGTTGGAGAGCCTGCAGAGGCTGGTCATGCCCACGCGCCTTCCAAAATCAGTGAGTGAATTTGCCCGGCTCTTCAAGTTACCCAAGTTTGAGGCCCTGTACCCATGCTGCAAGCGGATTGCCTGGTCAGCAATCTTGGTGAAACGACAGAGGCATACATCTGTTGAAGGAATGTAGGTGGTTCTCTTTCAAGCTCCAAACAACAAGAGGAGTCCTCGCAACAGATTGACATATGGGATTTTAATTTTGTATACTGGGTTCTAAGTAGAGAACTGTGCACGGTTCGTTTCTATACCTTTTAGCACTTTTCACAACCCCATTGTATATTGTATAGAAAGTCTCCCGCAACCCATGGTCCTACAAAAGCCAAGTCACAAGCACGCTGTCACTCCAATCAATTCAACCTTTGCCTCAACGTTAGTCCATTCTCATAGGAATAGTTTGTCGCTGTTAGCCTGCTCAACTTGCTACCACCAAGTTTCTCAAAACCCACAAGCCTTGTCTACAATGATCTTCCTCTATCGAGCTTGCTGCATTAGGGGCAAGTGATGTGAGCCTCATGTTCTTTATGTTACAATTTTGGAACGTTCCGCTATTGGATGATCATATGTTCTGCTGGGGGATAAACAGATTCAAATAGATCCGTAGATCAGTTAATATAACATTTGTGTTGATCTACAATTGCAACCCAGGGAGAATGTGACGCGCGAGGAAATCTAGAGCAGCCACCCAACCCTCCAACTGTTGGGGCCAGAATGCCCAATGCCATGCTCTCACCATGGGCGCCCGTTGTTTCCGTACGGATTCCAAGCACCGCTAGGCACCGTGCACTCCAAAGCACAATGCCTCCAAATCCCAGGCCTTGGAGTTTGAAAGCAACAAGCACCACACAGAGAAGCCGGTATGAACTGCAAACAACCAAGCGCGGCACCAGCTGCCCAACAATAGGCAGGGTACAGGACGCCCCATTCGTTCTGCCTAAACGGCAGGAGCAGCTTCCGACAAGGATCCTGCACTTCATGCATCTATACAAGCAAGCATTACATTCTACGTGTTGTGCATCATTTGGTCAAGCCAAACAGGTTTGTCATGCCCATGACAAGTGCAGCTGTTTCTCATCATCCACAACTGTTTGCCCTGATCATGGTCGCCCTGTTCTACTGATATAGCATCTACAGTGTGTTTTCCTATGTGTTGTGTTGCATCTTTTCTTTTTATCAACTGGATTGGCACTTTAATAAGGCAACATTGTAAGATCCAAATGATGTTATACATATCCAAAAACATACAAAAGAATAGTAGCTTTGTTTGGTTTGCAGATTCAAGGCCAAAGCCCTTTGACTGTGCACCAAGAATGCTGCTGTGTCCTTGGCACAGCAAGCTAAGCATGACAACGTCAAATGTCCAGAAAAGGTTCAGCTACAGGCTGATGTGCTTTACCAGACCAGAGCCTGTGGCAATTCCAGAAAGCCAAGAACAGGAAGATTGAATGGCCAGGATGTTTTTTTGATTGTATACCAGATTCTCATGCTAAACTCAAAGAACAAATCCCTGCAGAGGCTTGAAAATGATCAAGACGCCGTATATATATGCCTGTGCTAGCCACGAGATTGCAACAACGATTCTTCAACTCAGCCAAGCACGTCCCGCTGTTCATTATTTGAGTGTAAAAAATATAGTTGTTGTTGAGGTCGGGGGGCTGTGGGCACCCCAGTGTTTGTGTTTTTGCACCTTCTTATGAGCTCATCAGCTCATCTGGTGGCTGTTGAAAGAAATTACATGTTTTTGCCACCGGGTCGGTTTCCGACTTCCGATGAGTGTAGTGGTGCTCACGTTGATAATCACTTTAAATTCGACTCGTTCGACCTGGTGGCCATGGCTGAGAAGACCGGATGATTGTTTCCTTCCAGAATAAGGATGTGGATGTCATGTAGAAAGCATTATGATTGGTTTCACAACATGTTCATCAACCTCACAACATTATGAGTTGTTGATGAGACGACAGAAGATTCTTTGTGGGGGTTCGGGGTGACACGAAGTGCAATTGCAGTGGGATTCCCGTGGGAAGACGACGTCTCAAGAGCGGCCCACCGGACGTGCACGGAACGCTGTGACAAGTGCTATGGGATGTTTTATTAATAGAACTAAAGCCTTTATATACATCGGAATGAAACCCAATAAAGGAAACTCATGTGTTCAATGAGCTTGACAGTTCTAATCATTGGTACTTCATGCTTTTTACAGTACATTGAAAAATTATGGTATTGAAGCAGCAACTCTTTAGTGTATTTAAGCGCATTCATCCTTAATTTCTGCTGCTTGTATTGAGTGTGTGTTACGTATGCGTTTCCTTTGTTTTTTTGCAAACTCCTTCTACTGTATGAACGTAGATTGTTTCTTGTTGTATTGCATAAATCCTCCCTCAGAGCCATGCCTCCCTCAGAGAATTGCACATGCGACTCCTCTGCGCTGTGTCGGTTGGTTTTCTGGCATTCCCAACGTTGATATTAGCAATCGCTGCGGCGTTGCCTTTGTATTCTTCTGGTCATCGCTTAGGCTAGTTTCCCGTTTGTTTATCCACAAAAGTGCTATATATAAATATATATGTACCCAGAAGTCAAAAAGATCCCAAGAGCGCAAAAAGCTGCAGGCATGCTTTTTCCAATGCGCTTTGGTTGATGCTGGGGTCCTCCTCCAGACCCTGTATCGTTTAGTTCATTTCAAACTGCCCTGGACTTCGCCAGGGGGACAAGGGTGTGTCAGGCAGTAGGATTCGCCCGTCGTTGCCACAACACCCGATTGTCCCCTGGCCTCCCAGGGCCAACAGGCACCTGTCGAGGTGCCAGGGGACAGGGTCGGGAGGACAGCCCACCGGATCCGGTCACGGGATCTTGGGTGGGCAGCTAGGAAAAACCCGTTGAGGACAAAAGTTTTGTAGCGAAAGGAAAAATGAAGAGAGTCTCCGGTGCCGGTAACCGGCGATCTAAGGAGAATCCTTCAAAGTCAGGATGAGTCAATTCATCCGCCCAGGTGTTGTATTGTCTGGGGATGTGGTTGGGAGCAATGCTACAGCCCTCACAATGAAGGAAGAGAACCAATTCCATGAGCAGTGCCGCCGAGTATGGTTTCTTGGCCGAGAGGTTGAGCAGGCTGAAGATGTTGCCTGAGTTGTCACTGCCCACCGGGAGGCGAACTCTTCCCGGTAGTTGGCCCTGTTGGGCCACCAGGTGCTTGCAAAGAAGCAGTGTGCCCAGGAGTTCCAAGGCAGCAATGCGTTTCTGAGGGTTGCCATCCTTGAACGCCCAAGGATGGGCATCTGCTGTAATGGCATAGTGGAACCAGAGGACTTGGTCCTTGGTGGGGTTTGGGGAGGTCGAGCACCAGCCCCCAACATAGGCTTCACCTGCCTTCGAGGCACTATAGCATCGCTGCATCCCCACCAAGGCGACTTTGGCAAGAAAGGTGAGTACTGCTCAAATGGGTGCGTGAAGAGCTCCTTCAGGAGGGCGGCCAACATGCGGACCACCTTGGGTGGGTGGCCCATAGTTTTGACCGCCGTCTTCCAAGCCCAGAGCGGTTGGAGACTTGGTCAAAGGACAGCACGCCGTGGCCCACTGGATCCGGCCCATGGCCTTCTCAATGGCCTTGGCTGACATGGGGGTTTCAGGCAGTTGTAGGCCTCAGCGTAGGCGGTCTCCAAGACCCGCCGATCGCAGAGGCTGTCCAGAGGGCCCTTGGCCGTGCCTGGGGGTTCCGTGGCCGTCGTGCGGCCAACATGAAGCTGTGTCTGAGCCAGTGACTTGGCGGCTCTAACCGCCTGTAACAGGCGCATGGCAGTAAACCTGGAGGAGGCTTCGTCGAAGTTGTTCTCCCCATTCCGGAACTCCAGGTCCCGGGGTCCTTGGGCCCGTGCGTCCTCCGGGGTGTTCCAACGGTCCCCTAGGTCTTCCACTGTCACGTACAAAGATGGGCCCCCCTAGTTGGAGAACTTGTAAAGTGCCGTAACATATGTTATAACATGGGTTAACTGATGTTGTAAGCTGGTCTAAGATTGTGAAGTGTTCTAAGTTCTTGGTGGTATTTACGTTGCAGTTACAAATTACTTTCGATATATATAAGTAAGTTATCCTAGTTTATGTTGGAGGGTGCTAAATTAGTGCTAAATCACTTACAACTTACTTAGGGAACTTAGGTTTTTGCATTGAAAAAACTATGTTTTTTGTGGACGGGTTTGCAGAGAAACGTTTTTCAATGTTTTTTGGTGTACTCTTCTTTTTTGTGTAGAACTGAGACTGATTAGCAAATCTTTGTATTTTGTGTTGTTTTGGAAACAGTTTTTCTGTTTTTATGGGCGCGATTGTTTTTTATGTTTTAGTCGTGAAAAATTTGTGGGGTGGTGGTCCACCCGTACGACAGAGTAGTACTTTGCACACAGAAACACATAAATATGCAACACGCACACGTAGTAGAATATAGTGTAACGAATCCATTATGTAGGCCATGGAACAACTAGAAGCCATTAAGCTGGATCACGCCCCAAAATTGAGGAGTAGATCCTTGCCTGTCCGTGACGCATCACAAGACGCACACACACACACACAGTCCCTCAAAAGATCTGATGTAACCTGATGAACAAGAGGCTATATGTACAGTAGATGTACGGGAATGTACGGTAGATGTACGGGAGATCTACCGTACATCTACCGTACATCTACCGTACATTACAGTACATTCCCGTACATCTACCGTACATTACCGTACATCTACCGTACATTACCGTACATCTACTGTACATATAGCCTCTTGTTCATCAGGGTGCACCGCGTTTTTTGGGCACCGGCCACAACTTTTTGGACGGACCACCGCGATCAAAATTTTTGGACGGACCACCGCCATCAACTTTTTTGGACGGACCACCGCCTTCAATTTTTTGGACGGACCATCGCCTTCAATTTTTTGGACGGACCACCGCCCAGCGTGTTCCTAACACACAGATGTAGGTCATTGTGTGTGTTCTGTTTTTCTTACGCGCTTTGATGGTTTAAAGTAGAAAGTGTTTTTCTTTTAGCGCGGTGGTGGTCCACCGAAGAAATTCGAAGCGCATTTTTTGCTTTTTTTGTTTTGCTTTTTGCTTTTCTTCAGCAAAGCGGCGCGGTGAGTGTTCTACATTAAAAACCCTTGCAACAGCAGCGCTTTCCCAGGTAAAAAGCATAGTTTTTCGATGTCCTTCGGTTTGGGCCTTGCTACTGGGAAACCTGAAAAACATAGGTTTTGAACATCAAAAATCACCAATTAGAACTACATTTAAGTTACATCTTACTTACGAAGCCCTCCGGCTAACTTAGTTTTAAGTAATTTGTAACTTCACCAAGTAAGTTACAAGTGTTTTAACTAGGGGGGGCCCATCTTTGTAACCCTCCTGGGCCAGTTTTGCCTGAACCACCCAGGGAATCTGTTTGGCGACCAGGATAAGAGCAAGCGGTTTCGTCAAAAGGTCAAGATGTGGTTGGAGGGCCTCCGGTGCCTCCGCGGGGGGTTTGGCTGGTTCCGCTGGGGGGGCGCCCCCTGCCCCCCCTCCACCACCTGCACCGCCCAGGGGTGCTGCCATCAAGGGCGGGTTGGGTGGGTTTTCTTCCCAAACTTCAGGCGCAATCCTGCGTGTGATTGCCACCAACTTGAGCCAAAATGTCCCGGTGGGACATTTTGTGAACTTCAGCGAACATAAAACTTGCATCCGCAAGCTACCTGCAAGTGTGAATATGTACCCAGAAGTCAAAAAGATCCCAAGAGCGCAAAAAGCTGCAGGCATGCTTTTTCCAATGCGCTTTGGTTGATGCTGGGGTCCTCCCCCAGATCCTGTATCGTTTAGTTCATTTCAAACTGCCCTGGACTTCGCCAGGGGGACAAGGTTGTGTCAGGCAGTAGGATTCGCCCAGTCCGGAGGTCTGCCTGGCACACCCGCCATTTGTGTAGGATGCAGGCAGGCCGAGGTGTGTGGCCTGGGTCCCTGCCCCTCCCCCGACACCATTCCAGGGCCAAGGGGCACCTGGCCGTGGCTCAAGGCTGAGAGGTGGTCAAAAGCAAAGCGCCTCAGATTGATTCAACTGGGAGCACCTTCGGTAATGGTACGGCATCAGCTTCCGACTGGGTGTCCACGGAGTCATCCGTCTCGGAACCCGACGTGGCCGAGCTTTCCGTGTCAACCTCAAGATCAGGGATGTCCACTGTGCCAAGACGGCTCACAAACCACGATTTGGGGAGGTCACCTTTGGCAAAACACCGTGCGCACTTGCCGTAGCCCGTTGGGTTGGCCCAGTACTCCCCAGGTGTCAGCACTGTCATCTGGGCGCTTCTGGGGCGCCAACCACAGCCCAAGCAGAACCCCTCCACAGTGAGGAGGTGTACACGAAATTGCTTCTCCGGGCCCCGTACCGTATTCGAGCTGATCACC